TTAATCAAATAAAGAATTACAATAACTTATGCTTCTCAAACTTCTCTAAGTTCTCCTCAAAAATAATAAAAAGACCATAATCATTAGATGCATCAAACTTAGGCTTGAAAAATTAAGGATTCGGGGCCCCTGGGTGGCACAGTCGGTTGAGTGTCCGACTTCAGCCAGGTCACGATCTCGCGGTCTGTGAGTTCCAGCCCCGCGTCAGGCTCTGGGCTGATGGCTCAGAGCCTGGAGCCTGTTTCCGATTCTGTGTCTCCCTCTTTCTCTGCCCCTCCCCCGTTCATGCTCTGTCTCTCTCTGTCCCAAAAATAAATAAATGTTTAAAAAAAAAAAAAAGAAAAATTAAGGATTCATTCAGAATGATTTCAAATAAACCTAAGAATTCTTATTGGAGGAATTTCCTCCCTCTACTGGAGGTAAGAATTGCATCAAACTTCTCTTCAAAAAACCACACAAACAAGAAGAGAATGGTGTAAAATATTTAAAGTGCTAAAAGAGAAATGCACCAATCTACAATTCTGTATCCAGCATAATTATCCTCGAAAGTGGAAAAGTATTTTTTAAGACAAACAGAAATTGAGAGAATTTGTTCCTACTAGACAAGTAGTCTACTTGCAAGAAGTGCTAAAAATTCCTTAAGGTGAAGCAAATGATATAGGTCATTTGAATATACTTGAAAGAAAAAAGTTTTAGAGAAGGAATAAATGAAGGTTAAATAAAATCTTTTATTTTTCTTCTTTTTTTAATGTTTATTTATTTGTGTGTGTGTGTGTGAGACAGAGAGACAGAGACAGACAGACAGACAGACAGAGCATGAGTGGGAGAGGGGCAGAGAGAGCAGGGGACACAGAATCCAAAGCAGGCTCCAGGTTCTGAGCTGTCAGCATGGAGTCCGATGCAGGGCTTGAGCCCACAAATAGCGAGATCATGACCTGAGCCAAAGGCAGACGCTCGACCAACTGAGCCACCACGGTGCCCCTATTTATCTTCTTTATAAATGCTTTAATAGATAACAGCAACAATGTATTCAGTGATTATGGCTTATAGATCAGTGAAATGAATGACAGCAACATTATAAGGAATGACATAGAAGAACTGGGAGTTTTATGTTATAAAGTACTTCTACCACCCACGAGGCAATATAGTGTTACTGGAAACTGAACTTTGATTGATTATAAACATAGATTGCACAATGGAGGAAAACCACTAAAATTTTTTTTAAGAAGTAAAAACGATTATGTTGAGAGGACAGAAAATAGAATCATATAAAATGCTCAATTAAAACCAGGTGTGCCTGGATGGCTCAGTCGGTCAAGTGTCCAATTTCGGCTCTGGTCATGATCTCATGGTTCATGGGTCAAGCCTCACATCGGGCTCTGTGCTGACAGCTCAGAGCCTGAAGCCTGCTTTGGATTTTGTATCTCCCTCTTTCACTGCTCTCCCCTCTCAAAGATACACATTAAAAAAAGAAAAAAGACAGATAAAGAAAGGGGGAAAAAAGGAACAAAGAACAAGGGCAACAAACAGAAAATTAACAATATAGTAGATATTAATCTAATTATATCAATAATTACTTTAAATGTAAATGGTCTAAATATCCCAATTAAAAGACAGAGACTATCAGAATGGATTTAAAAAAAAGAGCCAAGTACATGCTGTTTACAAAAAGAAATTTTTTTTTTAATTATAAAGACACAGGCAATTAAAAGTAAAGGGATAGAGAAAAATATACTATGCTAACCTTAAATAAAAGAAAGCTATATTAATATTGGGCAAAGTGTGTTTCAGAGCAAGGAAAATTATCAGGTATAAGAGGGACATTATATAATGATAAGGAGACCATGTCCATAGGGAGATATAACAATACTTAATATGTTGCATTTAATAACAGAGCATGAAAATATGTGAGGCCAAAGCTGATAAAACTGCAAGGAGACATAGATGAATCCACTATTTAAGCTGGAGGTTTCAACTTTTAAACATAAAAGTACTAAGAAAACTGAGTAAATATTTTTGTAATTCTAAGCTAGCACATTATTAAATAAAAACTCGATATAACAGAAAGACTATTATATTTAACTTTACAAAACTTTAAAACCCCTGCAATGACCAGGAATACCAAATATGCTTTGTCAAAAGATAAATGACGAACTGCCAAAAAAATACTGTAATATACAATTACCATCTCTAAAGAATTCTTCAAATCACTAAGAAAAAACCCAATAGAAAAAGATTGTCTAAATACAAAGAACAAACAATTCACAGAAGAAATATCTATAAACAGACATAAAAAGATGTTTAACTTCGGGGCGCCTGGGTGGCGCAGTCGGTTAAGCGTCCGACTTCAGCCAGGTCACGATCTCGCGATCCGTGAGTTTGAGCCCCGCGTCGGGCTCTGGGCTGATGGCTCAGAGCCTGGAGCCTGTTTCCGATTCTGTGTCTCTCTCTCTCTCTGCCCCTCCCCCGTTCATGCTCTGTCTCTCTCTGTCCCAAAAATAAATAAACGTTGAAAAAAAATTAAAAAAAAAAAAAAAAGATGTTTAACTTCACCAAAAACTACAAACCAAACAGATATATATATATATTTTTGGACCCGTGAATCTGTCAAAATGAAAATTAGTTTTAAATCCTAGTGTTGATGAGAATATATGGAGTTTAGAAACAACTGCTTTAGAAAACAATTCAGCAGTATTTATTAACATTCTTAATGCTCATGCCCTCTGACATCATTTCTTAAGTATTCAATAGAATGACTTCAAAAGGATACATAAAAATATGTATTTGAATGTTCATTGTATGTTTAGAAACATATATGTTTCTAAAGGCAAAAACTTGGAGAGAAAAAAAATACCTATTGCTCTGGGCTGAATTATGTCTACCTAAAAGATATGTTGAGGAGTTCCTGGGTGGCACAGTTGGTTAAGCGTCTGACCTCGGCTCAGGTCATGATCTCACAGTTGGCGGTTCGAGCCCCACGTTGGGCTCTGTGCTGACAGCTCGGAGCCTGCAGCCTGCTTCAGATTCTGTGTCTCCCTCTTTGTCTGCCTCTCCCTCCACTTTCTCTCTCTCAAAAATAAACAAACATTAAAATATATATATATATATACATATATATGTTTTAACACTTATATCTATGAATATGACCTTACTTGAAAAGAGGATCTTTACAAATGTAACCAAGTTAAGATGAGGTCATTAGGATTGACATTAATCCAATGACTGGTATTCTTATAAGAGAAGACACAGGTAAAGAACACCATGTGATTACATATGTAGAGATTAGAGTCGTGAGTAAAGCCAAGAAACATCAAGGATTGCCAGCAATGCCAGAAGCTAGGACAGAGGCATGGGATGAAGTCTCTCAGTGCCTCCAGGAGGAACCAACTCTGCTGACACCTTGATTTCAGAATGCTAACCTCCTAAGTGAGCAAGAATAAATTTTGCTTTTTTTAAGCCATGCAGTTTGTGATACTTTGTTATGGCAGCCCCAGAAAACTAATACACCCATCAACAGAGATTAGTAAGTTACAAGAAACTCACAAAATAGAGGATGCAGTAATAAAAAGTATGCAACAGATATAAATGGGCATGGAAACATATGAAATATATATTAATAAACGTGAAAAAGTTAAGTTTCAGAACAGCATGTACAATACGAATTTTATGATAAAGAAAACATACCTCTCTGCCTCCAACTCCTCAATGAAACCCATCCTTCTCACGTGCCGGCCAAGGCAAATATGGGTTAGACTACTTCCCTCTGCAATCTTGACCTGCACTGACACCTTCACGGACTGAATTCACTCCCAAGGCCTCAATAATCAACACTCTGCAAAGGATTCCAAAAGCTCTACTCCTACAATCTCTACTATCTTGCTATTACCATCAGGAGGTTCTGTTGTCATCTGGAATTCACACAGCCAACTGAATATTGCCATTTTTTCCTTCACAACATTGCCATTATATAACCTCGGGATGGCAACTAGAGGTCATTCATCTATGTGAACCTGGACTGACTGGTAGTGGCTACCCGCACGATGCACTGCGTATTCAGGGACTGCATCTGGACACAGCAGAAGAAGTGCTATCGGCAACAGGTAGTGTCCACCATGTGCACAAAGACCATGTTACTATCCCTCATAACCCTTTTTTTGTTCTAGATGCTGCTACCATTCCGGTTCCTTAGCCAGGCCAGGTCAGCTGAGAGAATGAAGAAGATGTTTAGTAAACTTTAAACTCTTACTTAATTATTCTCATTATGAATGTAATTTCTAATTTTCCCCATCTCTAGATCCTTCCTATCTTGATACTTTTTTAATGAAAAATCTTTTTTTGCCTCTTTACTAGTAACTTAAGGACTAAATTTTAACCTCTAAGTCTGAAGTTCAAAGTCTTCCAAAATCTGGCCTCAATTTACCCTTCAAACTTATCATTATGTTCTGAAACAAATACTATTCTCATTTCTAGCCAAGCCAGTCTATTCAATGTTTCCTAACACTCCATGCCAATTTTCTACTCTAAACGTACATGTTTCCCTCTACTTGAACTCACGTGGTTCCTTGCTCCTGACAAATTGTATACCATTTAAGGTCCTCATGTTCAAGGCCCACAATGATGCAGCAAATGCCACAGTGATATATCTATCTTTCCTATTATTAATTTTTTATTATATGCTGGCTAGTGAAACATATCTTTTTATGCAAGATTTTTGTCCTCCCCAGCTACTTAGTAAACAACATAGTTGTAAGAACTGAATCTTCCTACTCCCTCCATGTATTTGAAGATACTGGGGGAGTGTTAGCATCTCAATAAATCCTCAATACTTGACGATGATATTTCATTAATAAAAACAGTGGAAATTTGGATTTCTGATTAGCTTTATGTGTTGCATACAAATCAATTAGCTCCTTTACTATAATGAAAATTTCTCAAGTATTTAGGTATCCTCTGATATTTTTATGGCAACATAAATTCACCATAGTGGAGGGAGAATTTCACTTAAATTTTTTTATTTTGGAACCAAAGACATGATAAATACACAATTTCACCTCTATTTTAATACTTAAAAATACTACATAGTTTTAGCTTCTCCAAATCTAATATAAGGGTTTAACTGTAAAATGAAACTTGAAAAACATTTCACTGTCCAAAGATTACTGTGTGCTTGGCTTATGATAATTTCTGATCTCATATCATCTTTAACAGCAGTTTATATTCCTAGATGTCTTTCATATTTCCATTTTGTTTCAATTTATCTGGTATTTAATGAGTTCTCCTTTTACAAAGACATATTTCTATACTAAATCTTCAGGACAAGTTAAAAATAAGTTTAAAAAATCACTATAGCAGAGGAACCCCTGAGTCAAGGATACTGAGAAACTAAGTAAACTATCAGAAAGCCATAGTAATTGAACTATGAAGTTACTACACATCTTTCAATTGATTCTATTTTCTAAAGGGTTTTTTTCTAAAAACGCCTCTTCAACATTACTCTACACCCAATTATTTGGTCTCTTTAAAAAAGGGTCACAATTCCGACATAACACATAAACTGCAAAGTGAAATTAACATTGTCTAAATAATCTCACTCTCCTATATTGATATTATAGTCACTAATCCTCCACTAATTTTATAATACTGACAGATACAATAGATAGAAACAGGATATATTTCTGTTATACTATATATACGAACAGAGTTAAGTATACTAAACGTTTCCTAATTACTAAACAATACTTAACCACTTAAAAATATTAGATTGTTCAGTCACACACCAATTAAGAGTTGTATTTACAGTTAACGATATATCTTACTGTGGACAAGAATGTATGAACTTGTTTTGCTTCCCATCTTTACAGTGAAAGTGACCTCTATACTAATGCTGGGTTCTATAAAGTCCTAAAGAGACTAATTTATAATGAAGCCCAACTCGATCTACTCTTTTAAACCTCAACTTTGGGGGCGCCTGGGTGGCTCAGTCGGTTAAGCGCCCGACTTCGGCTCAGGTCACGATCTCACGGTCCCTGAGTTCGAGCCCCGCGTCGGGCTCTGGGCTGATGGCTCAGAGCCTGGAGCCTGTTTCCGATTCTGTGCCTCCCTCTCTCTCTGCCCCTCCCCCGTTCATGCTCTGTCTCTCTCTGTCTCAAAAATAAATAAACGTTAAAAAAAAAAAATTTAAACCTCAACTTTGAATCAGTCTGTAAAATAACCAAGTTAGTTCACTATAACTGTTAAATATAACACTTAAACTAAAAACGTTTTAAAAATCTTTACACCATTTTTTCACATGCTTCTCCAAACAGCCAGAACACTCTACATACATTATAGCATTATTCTCTGAAACCCTTAAGCAAGCCCATCTTACAAATCTAAACACTAAGGCTCTTACTGGTTGAGAAATTTCCCTATATTATAAGCTAAGAATAACAAGAAATAAGGGATTTATAGCCCAGATATGCTGTATTCTTCTAAATCTCCTCCTATACTTATAGTCTACCAGACAAGACACTTTTATACTCACCTTTTTCCTCTATACAAGGTTGCCCTTTCAGTTTTGCATATTCCAAATCCCAAATGTTAACCTTTTTTCTCTTTCCATACTCAAGGTGAAATACATTCTCGGCCCTAACTTCCCAGCAATGCTGTCTTAACTCAGGCCTTCATCAAAACAATGATCCATCTAGGCACCTCTCCCTGTAAACCTATTTAAGAATTTAGAACAGAAACAAAGTAACAGTTGGACAGCTACTCTTACCACCTATATTAGTTCAGCAGCTGACTTAAACCACATTGTTCTTATAAAGGAAGATTTAAATCCAGATAAAACTTGCATCAGAAATTGAAGATTTTAACAACGTGATCAAGCAATGAGAAATGCTGAATCAGCTCGTAGGGAATAAATGAGTTAGCAACTATAATTAATAAGTATTCAGTGATCTGTATGCTAGATATTATAAAAATCATAGAAGACACGTAGGTATAAGGTCTAATCTTCCATAATTATATATAGGGTGAGAAAATAAGAAATCTAATGAAAGAATATAAGTAGGTTAAAACAAGTGCTCAGGAATCAAAAGAAATAAAGATTAAAGATGGTTAATAAAAATGGTTTTTTATGCACCACTAAATCTTGAAATAAACAAACTCGTTGAATGTGTCAGAGAAAAGCATCAGTCAACATTACCAACTTAATCCATTTGGACCACAGATGGTTGTAGAAAGGTAGTATGAGGTTTTATTTTTCCCAATCCTTAATTTCTTATTCAGCACTATATATATTAAACTCCACTTGGCAAGATGGCATATACTCTAGAGAAAGTAAGCTAAATCGCAGTACATGAAAAACAACAAAACTAACTACAAAACAAGACCTGATCTTGTTTTTAACTCTTCTTAACTGTTTTAAGAAAATACTACCAACTAATGAACTGCATCAGAACTATTTAGGTAAAAGTATATAACATATATTGACATATCACATATAACTCAAATGAAACCTCAACTTTCACAAAATCTATTTTTTAAACTGTGGCAAAATAGATTTACTTAAGATTCACTTCTTCCATGAAACCAATCACCAATCTAGAGTTTAATATACAGACATATTTCCATTTAGTGAAGTATGTATGTTTCTGCATCCTTTTTCTGCTGGTGGTTACACCTGTCTTTAACCCAATTCTCATCCCTCACCTGCTATATCTAAGGGGAATGAAATCCTACTAGAGACTTTTTAAATGTCCTGGAATTCCCACCAGCAATGCCTTAATTCAGGTCCTCATCATATCTTATGTGGACTGCTGTAAATATACCTACCTGATCTCCTTTGTCTCCACTGTTACTACCTTCAATCTGCCTTCTTTGGTGCTTTCACCTTTCTCCCAAACTTTCTAAAAGTCGTATCTGATCTTGTGGTTCCCCCACTAACTAGTGCAATACTTCCTCAACTGTATCTCTCTTACATCTATGAAATACACACTGATATCTTAACAGGTTAGAGAAAATCTGTAGTAAAACAACAACAAAAAAACCCAACTTCGTTTTAATTTAATCTTAACTCACAAAATATACATCCAAGATTGAAGGGAAACATATTAACATGTCAAATGTGTTTCAGGAATACCCTATCAGAAAACAGTAAACTTCAGCAGTGAGTCTCAAACTGTGATATAGGTTAAAGTCTCCTGTTGACCTTACTAAAAATAGAAATGCCCGAGTTCCACCTCAGGCCTACTGAATATTACCTAGAGATTCGACCTAGCAGTATTTGTAATCTCCACAATATTTCTAATGCATACCTAAGTTTGAGAACCTAGGCAGAAACTCTCCTTGCTCCATAACAAACTATTAGTAGGTCCCAACTTTCCAAGCTGTTTCATTCCTCTCATCCACCTGGGAGTTACCTACCAATCTTAAATATTCAGGTATCACCCATTCTAAAAAACTTTCACTCATCCGCTCTCCCACTATTCTCTTTTAATCTCCTAAACTTTTACAAAAAATAATAACATCCATATATTTATGTATGGTCCTTCTAATCCACAAAACTACTCCATAAGACAGAATCCCTATCTTAGAAATAAGAAAAACAATTCTACCACAGGGAGTTAAAAACAAGAATTAAAAAAACAAAAACAAAAACTTGTTGTAAGTGACCATCTGAGTTTGAACTCTGGTGTGCTGACTACAAAGCCAAGACATTTTCCATTGAGACATGCAGCCTCCTATACATCACTCTGAAGTATTGACTTACTCATCAGCTTACACATTTGTTTCCCTTTTTAGACATAGTAAGCTCCTTGAGGGCAGGCATCAACCCTGATCTTGACCTCAACGTTTAGTTACTCAATATACACGTGTTGAGTCACAGAAGGAATGCAGCTCCTCCAGAACTGGGACTATAACTGCTGTTTCATTTCTTGAATTCTTAGTTAGAGCTCTAAATACACTTCTTCCCTAACAAATTTGGTCTGACTTTTGACTTTTTCTTTTTATAAGACAATGTATTTCACTATTATTTTAAACTACAAAAAGCCACACAGTGGGCAAAGAGGAAAAAAAGGATTGTTCAAAAAACAATCGTTCTGGGGCACCTGGGTGGCTCAGTCGGTTAAGCGCCCGACTTCGGCTCAGGTCATGATCTCCTGTTTCATGAGTTCAAGCCCCACATCGGGCTCTGTGCTGACAGCTCAGAGCCTGGAGCCTGTTTCGGATTCTGTGTCTCCCACGCTCTCTGCCCCTCCCTCCCATGCTTGTGCTCTCTGTCTCTCAAAAAATAAATAAATGTTAAAAAAAAATTTTTTTTAAAAACAATCTTTCTTACTTTACTCTCAAAGAACTGGAGACTTCAAATATTAATCTTCACAAAAAATTTCATACCACAAGAGCAGGCCACTAAAGAGTGTGATTCTAAATGACAGAAATTCAAAAGGTAAAGGTGACTAGTAAGAGACAACATAAAGATATTGGGCACTGAATACGGACAGTGTATTCAGCAATCCACTTAAGCTAACCAGAAAGAAAGCTCTCTTTCTCAATCACAGTATTCTTTCAGATCTTTCACTTTGAAACGAGGAAACATTACAGGTAAGCATAAAGCAATCAGTCGGTGTACTCACGTTTAAATGTAATGTCCTTCCTGCCTAAAGTTCATGTGTCTGGTATGTCAAACAATACAACTACTTCCTTTCTGACACAGATTTCATAGCAAATGTAAATTGGCAAAATTTAAAATTTTTCATTTGCAAATAATGTAACATTTGAAAACCTGGAGATTCTCATAAATCAAAAATATACAAAAATTGGTGCTGCTTTAAGAATCTTACACTCTAATTTTATCAGGTTTTGGTGGGTAAAAAAAGTGATAATTCCTTTAGCACCACTTTTTGAAACAAATCAGTAACAAGGGAAGAAACCATTCTAAAACAACATGATGTAGTGGAAAGCACAAGAGACTAGGCATCAGGAGTCCTGGTTTCTAGTTTTGGTTACATTCCTAAATTGCTGTGTGACTTAGGGTTCACTGGCTCCGTTTTCTCATTTGTTTAAAAGGGGGGGGGGGGGGCTTGGTTATCTTTAAAGTTGTTTCTCAAAACATTGATATTAAGCCAGTCGTCTTATTTCATTCTTATCAGTAAAATGTAAAACACATTTGAATTAAATGTAATAGTTCAATCTCCAACAGGATACAAAAGGTTGATTCCTATGAAGTTAACAATTAACTCATAGGGTAACTTTCCAGAAATTGTCCAATCCTAACCTCTTAAACAAGCAGGTGTAGCCCAGTTGGGCAGATTTAACACTGCTAACAACAGTTGTGACTTTGCACTGCTCTGCTGACATTTCAGTCGGCGCTCCCGGGTTCCTGTGGCACATGCTGTGCAGGTGCTAACACGCAAAGAGGGGAGAAAGGAACCCCAACAGCGTTTCAACAAAATCAGCCAGGGTCCAACCCAGCCACCGCAGTCAGATGCAGCCTGACAAGGCCTACACCACAGAGCAGAACCTCCCCACCCCCAGAAGTGCCAGCAGCCAATGTAATGAATGCTTCCGTCAACAACACACATTCCCCTTCCCACAGCAGAACTGCTTGCTCCCAACCAGCCATCTGGGGTTGGAACAGGCCGCACAGCACCAACCTAAGAATCACTCTCAGGCCCCAAAAGGCCAAGAACTACTAGAGATTGCGGTTCCCCTGCGCATGGTTGTGGGGAGAACAGCACCTCCTCCCACCAATGCAAAAAAAAAAAAAAAAAAAAAAAAATCAGTGGGGAGGAGAGCAGAAACCAGGCCTGGTCGAGATTGCTGGAGAAATAAACGCTGTTTCTCTGCAATAGGGAGCAGTAGCATTTCCTGCTCTCATTCAGAACCGATGCACTAGACTTCACTCCCTCCTGAGATCCTAAACGGGTATTAAAAACCACATTCCGGTCCACTTCATTCATATTTGGGCTTCATTCCTCGACCTACTCACTCCTGAAACCTCTGCCATTGTGAAAGGAGGGGGGCGCCCCGCCCCAGGGGGAGGGGGAGGGGGGGGAGCGGGGGGCGGTACAGAGGCCCGGTTTTTAAGATCGAGGAGCTTGTGCAAGAATAAAATCCCCTTGTGGCCTGAGAGCAAAGTTTGAACCAGTAGCTAGGGCGCAGACCTGGGCCCGGCCAGGCAGGGTTCCAGGGCAGGCCTGCAGAGGTGACACTTCCCAGCTCACGGGCAACTTCGGGAGGCGGTGTCCGGCCGCCCCGGCCGGCACTGCCCAACACCCGGGGAGCCGGGCTGGCTGGAGGCCTGGCCGGGAGCCGGACCCTCCCCGCGCCGCTCCCGCCTTCTTCCCCACTCCCACTTCCCGGCCCACAAGCCCGGGCCCGAGAGGTAACGTCAGGGGTGGCGACGCGGGTCTCGGCCACTGACCACACATTTCTTGCCGAGGAAAGTGAAGAGAGACTCGTTCTCCTGCGGGGTGAGCAGCAAGGACCCCACATTGGTGACCCTCCGCGGTGGAGGCGGCTGCTGCTGGCCGGAGCTCATGGTTTCGCCGGCTGGGTTGCGAGTCCAGGGCCGTCTCCGGAGAGTAGGCGAGTGCTCTTTCCCCTCTCGGTGACAGGGGCGGGAGGAGGGGAATCAGAGGCGCAGCATCTCGCAGCTCCTCGGGCGCGGGGAGGAGGAGGAGGCCACGGGGAGGAGGAGGCCACGGGAAGGAGGAGCCAACGGCAGGCCGCACAGAGAAAGGGAAGCTCCCAGCTCCCGCCCGGCGAGGCTTTGGCCGGATGGTCGTTGTCCTCGTACTCCGGCGACTGCGCTAAACTCCCAACTCCTCCTCCAATCCTTCTTCGGCGGCGGCAGCGGCGGCGGCGGTGGCAGCCGCACAATCCAACATGGCAGCGGGGGCGGACGAGACCACAGGACGCAGGACGCGGGGGAGCGCGCCGGAAACGCGCGGCTGCGGGCCGGGCCCCGGAGGAGCTCCCCCCGCCAACCACGCCGCGGCCCGCCTCGCCGCGCCGGGCCAAGGCCCCGCCCCCTTCCGGCCGAGTCGCGGACCGCACCGTCAGACGCGGACTGGACGGTGAGACGCCAGGCGGGGGTTCCGCGTACCGGCCCACGGCTCTAGCCTCCTTCCTGCGGTGCTTGCGCCCGGTGGCAGCTGCCTGCACAAAAGAAGAGCCGCCCGCCCCTGTCCGCCCCTGTCCGCCCCTGTTCTGTGGACGCACACCTTTGCGAAGCGTCAGTGCAGACCCAGGTCCCCCTTCCCCGAAAGCTCTTATTTCTGGGGTGCGGAGGCCAGGCGTCTACACTGAGGGTTAAAAAGGTCTGGAATCTGGAGACAGAAGTGACGCTCTCCCCTGTGCTCCTCGGTGGTTTAGGTCAGAGCCGCAGGTGCCTGGGGTTTCTCAAACTTTGTCCAAACTTCAGCAGTGGAAGTGGAGGAACAAACAGGCCTCTCCCAGTATTGTGAAAGAGAGATCTTGCTGATGGATGCTACAAAAACCAAACGCACTTGGAAAAAAAGATTTCTACCCTTCGCCTGGAGTGTTGCGTGGGATACGTGTATTTGTAACATTTAAATTCAAGCTCTTTTTTCTCTGAAGTACCCTGAACATATTTTTCCCCGTTTTGTGAATTGGAAAATATTCTTTTTCCCCTTCTCATGTTTTTTTCTTCAGACCCCAAAGACCTTGTTTTCTTTTTATCCAAAACGAATATGCCCATTCAGGGATATTTCACACATGGAAGTACGTTGTCTGATTTAATCCTTAGAAGTAAATCTCAAGAATTTTTGTTAAATGTGTATGCCTCAGAAAGTTAACTAAGATAACCCCCTTTGTTCAAGTAAATTAAGTACTAAACAAATGTAAAATGAAGTTTTGGACTGAGGAAATGATAAAGAATACCCCCTGCAGTACTAAGCATCTGACTTTGCTGCTTTAAACTTTATTCATTTATTGTATAATCTCCATCACCAGGTTTACTAATGAATTTACATTCAATTTCAATAAACAAAAAAGTTACCATATGTTAAACTTAACATCCATGCTATGCCAAATGAAATTTGGTAAAACCATTTAATTTTAACATCTCTGATAGCTTCCAATACGACTCATCTATGTACTAAAGAGACTTATAAGCAATTATCAATGCACTTTGAAAATATAAAATTTTTAAATTATAGCTGCCCCTATGAAGCTAGCTAATAGGAATAAATCTAGAAAGGAAAATGAGATCTTGTAGTCCTGGGAGCCCTCATATAAAATATGGATATTTCAAAATTAAACTCGATTAATAATGTTAAGGGGAAAAGTGATTCAAGAAAATCAAACTGTAGGGATGCCTGGGTGGCTCAGTGGGTTGAATGTCCGATTTTTGATTTGGGCTCAGTTCATAATCCCAGGGTCCTGGGATCAAGGCCTGCATTGGGCTCCACAATGAATATGGAGGCTGTTTAAGATTCTCTCTCTCTCTCTCTCTGCCTCTGCCCCTCTTCCCCCATGATGCTCTCTCTCTCCCTCTCTCTCTCTCTCTCTCAACTTAAAAAAAAAAAAAGCTGACTTTTTATAAAATAATCAGGTTTAGGAAGCAGCAGAAATGTAAACCTGGAGTTGCCTCAGAATTACGAAGCCAACAAAATAAACCTAGACACTAAATCAGTTGTCTCTGGCATCAAAAGTGAGGTTCCTATAAATTAAAACCACAGTGACAGCAGAAAGCACTACATATTCTTGACAAATAAGAGAAATTAGAATCTTAATATTGTCAAAACTGTGAACCAGGGTAATAACAAATATAGGCTTCAGATCGGCCTAATTGTGAATTCTTGTTCGGCCATGCAGATATATAATTTCATGGGCCTTAGACAAGTTGCTGCTCTGAGTCGGTTTCCTCATTTGTAAAATGAAAATAATTTCTATTTAATAAAGGTGTAGCATAGAGATAATTAAACCTACTTCAAAGTTGTAAAAATTACCAACAAAGCATATGTGAAAGGCTTGATACGTCGTGGTTATTCAAATATTGCTTGTTCATCATTGACCAT